TAGAATACATAATTATTGATATAACTCTGAAGTGTAGTATAAAAAATCCTATATTCCAGAGCAGTTTTTTGTATTGAAATATTATTTATAATAGTATTTAAAACTATAGTAATATTATTTTCAATATAGAGTTTTGATATTATATAAATAATAATAAATCAAAATTTGAAATCAATTAATTGAATGGTTGTTTAATCAAAAATATTTAAGAAGGTAGGTTACTGAGGCGGTATGGGTTTTGAGGATAGCCGAAAAGTGGGGTAGTTGACTTAGTAAGATTCAATTTAGCAGCCAATGAATGGATCCTATAATCCAATCATTACTGGGAGAGTATCTACCAATGCAGGGAAGGTCTTGATGCAATAATTGCAACCAAACTTGAAGCCAGAGGCTCTCTCTGCCTTCTAGGAGAAAGTAAATAACCGTGATCCGGGTTAGGTACAGTATAGTACTCGGCATGAACTAATGAATCCTGCGTAATACTCTTGGATTATATACAGATCTTTATAGTAATCTCTCTTATTACTCGCCGTGGATAGTGAATAAGCTATCTCGTAAAAGAAAGAGGGTAGAAAAGGTTCATTATAATGATCACTTAGAAAGAATAGAGTAACTACAGCTCCTAATATTTTACTATATTCCGTTCTCCAACTATTACTAATTATCACAACCAATCACTCTGATATTCCGCAACTCGGCTCTTTTCCTCTTTCCGCTTTCATTCCTAAGCGAGCTTAGAATACTACAGTGAATCACTTGTCACTACACCGCAGCAAAGTAAAGTATATATTCAATTTCTCGCTAGATATTGTTCAAGTGAATGCAATTCATGAATCAAATTGCAGCGTCGCCGTCTCGGAATTTTGTTAATTCATTTATATATAATAAGATATAAAAAATATCCCAATAATAGAGCAAGAGATTCCCAATATTCACTCCACTCCACTCCACTCCACTACACTTCATTTGAATTCAATTCACTTCACTTCTTTATACTTCGTCACACTTCGTCATCACTTTGTATAGACAAACATTCATATATTCGATTTATTTTTGTAGTAATTAAGCGGAACTACATATTCGCATTCATATATTACTTTTTCCTTCTGAAATAATAACTACTGAGTATTCAGTAACTATTTCACAAGTGAATACTAGCAAATCATAATAATTAAAGTTTTACAGTCTAAGTATCTCATCATTCACTCCCAATTCCTCGTTAAAGATAGTGACTTCCGAATTTCCGCTTTATAAATCACAGATTCTCTATAGAACTAGCAAGATCCCTTTCCAAAGATTGATAATCTAGATACCCACTATCACTGCCATTATTACAATGAAAATCAACTAGACTCCTCTCCCGTTCCCCCCCAAACTCCAAATCGACAAAAGCCAAAAACACCCCTCTCCTTTAAAAACTCCTCGATACTACAAAGACGATATAATACAATACCACTCACTCCTGCTTCCATAGTACCATACAGGAGTCTATTATTATAACATACAACTGGTACCCCGTCTACCTCCGCCTGCCTCAACCTATCATCTCTACATACTTGAATAGATACAAGATCAAAACCCACTTCCCGTAACCATAATACATCAGTGTGTAAACACGAGCTGGGAAACAATTAATAATCCGGTGATGAGAACTATACCATGTATCATCTGAATTTCGCTAAGATTTAGGCAGGGGTGCGAAAAGCTCGAGGGGAGTACGAATAGAGTACGGATAGATTTGAGAGAAAGATATCAATGCGAGAATGGCTCGATGTTTGCAGTATATCCAATAGTCCGGACTGCAGAACGTACTAGATTTTTTTCATATGGCTAGTCGAGCTGGTAGTAATCCAATGAAAAAGATAGACTAGCTAATCCATTGAGGTTTTGAAGATAGACTAATTGAACTATAGTCTAAACAAGCTACGAGTAGATTAGTCTAAAAGTCCTATCAATCTAGACTTTCCAATTTTAGATTAGCCGAGTTAAATTACTATTTCAAATTTACTCCAATCAATAGTCCATCTAATCCAATTAAATCACAAACTAGCCATCTAGACTACCATCCGGACACAAGACTACAAGACTATTGTATAAACTGAACATTTAGAACTTTGAAATTAGTACAGAAAGATAAACTACAGGTTTTGAAGAGTATTCGTAAATCTAATATACAGCGCGCAGTTTGTTGGATATATATATATCCATCGCATCCGCATAATTATTCGGAGTTTTGAGACACTGATGAATGAATACTATATATACTCCAATATCATCATTGAACAACTGGATTGATTCAAGTTATATATAATTATTTCTAAAAAGAAGAAAGGTATACTAGGTATACATAATACAATACAACTCTAAGTTATTAAATGTTATACCAACTAACTATTATTAACTTATCAATACCGAATTCCTCTGATGGATGCATACAGCATATTATAACTTGAACCTATTCGCGTGAGACAATATGACTATAACCTTCAAGTTAGATATCTACAAGTAGGAAATTTTCCCCAAAGAATCTATCCTATATAAGATCTTACTATTTCCATTTCTATCTTAATCATCTAGATTCTATCAGAAAAAAGTATTCTAGTTTTCGGATAAATCTGAATATCTGGATATCTAATAGATTTCCTCTTATCTTCTTTGTGTAATTGTTAACAATTATACTCGTTGTACTCGTATATTTCCTATTTTACTCGGCTACTATGATTATACATCTATCTTTATTCCCCTCTTTATCCCTTTATTTCTTCATTTTATATTATTATCCCAAAATACATATACAAGTACATTATTCTTATTTTCATCTTCATACCTATCCATATCCATCAACGCTAGTCACCAACTACTCGAGTAGTATTATAGTAATAAAATTACCAACATCCCTCCTCTTGTCTTCAAATTCAGATCAGTCAAACACATCTTTAAGACTTTAATTCATGTAATTATAATACATATCTATATATCTACGAGTATCTATCTATCTACAGTAGCTGATTTCATGTATACTACTCGAGTATACCATGATCAAGATAGATAGATAATAGGGATATTTACAGTAGATTAGATAGGTCTTTGAAGTTTATGATTGGTGGGTGGGTATGTATGTATGTATGTGAGAAGGAGGATCTTATAAGGGAAGGAAAAAAGTGTGTTTGTGGTATGAGCGAGTGCTGGGAAAGGATTTGAAAAGGGGAAAGGGGGGGAAGGAGAGGTTGTGGGTTTTGAGTGGTGTTGGGTTGAGGTGAGGAGGGAGAAAGGGGGCAGGGGATGAAGGAAAATGGGGATAGGGAAGGGTGGAAAGCGGGTAGGAAAGTGATATGATGGGATATAGAAAAGAATGTGAGGGGAATTGAGGGTTAATTATTAATACTATAGCTGATACATGTAACGAGACGGAGAATTTGAAATAATTATTATTTGACATTTGTGCTGATGGAATTTGTAGCTGGTTGGAGTACATGAAGTGTGCTTGCTGATTTGCCAAAAAATTCAATGCCGTCAACTCATGACTGAAGCACCAGTAGTCTTACCAGTAGTCTGGTAATCGATCAGCATCCCTTTTTTATTTCCCATGCACTACTCGTATATACCTACACCAATCCAATCATACCTCGAAACTAAGCACCTTTCTATTAACACATTCAAATTAGCCCGCACTCTCACTCTCATCTCATCCCTCACCGAAAGCAAACCCAAAAAATCAGCAAACAGAAAAACTCACCCCACCCCTCTCATCCTCCATCCCAATAATGGGCCCCAACTTCGCCGCCGCGGGAAACTCCTCCTCAACCTTCTCCTTCCCCTTCTTCGACTCCAACCCCGCCTCCCCATTCAACCCCGCACTATCACTCGTACCCTTTGCTTTTTCCTTCTTGCTCGTCTGCGACTGATCATGTTGCACATTATGTTTTTCGGTCGGCTCATCTGTGCCTGCGTTCTCCTTGGGGGGACGTCCCGCCCAGTTACTGCGGAGATGGGTTGTGGTGGAGAAGGAGCGCGGACGCAGGGTTGGTGGCAGTGGGTAGGCGGGTGGAGGCTGCGTGGGTGAGGGGGAGGGACTGCGGGCGCGGAAGCGCAAGTGCAGGCGGGGGTTGGGAGTTAGGTGGCGGATGCGCGCGTAGGGGGAGGTGGATATGGTGGATTTGGACATGGTTGGTTTGGTTGGGTGGATTGAAGGGGATTGATGAGATGAATGAGATGTTGGTGGAAGATATCACAGTTCAAGAATACTGTGTCTATTTACCTTTGTAAATTGAGATTAAAGAGAAGAATTAAGTAAAGAGGAGAAAAAGAGATACCGGTAAATAATAGGATTGTGCGAGAAATACTAGTCCCAAAAAGCTATGTAATAGTTTCCAAGCTTACCTAGGTGAACAAAGCTTTACTTTTCTCCTTCATTCGTCAATCAGTAAAATTTATTACGTTAGTGGCTATATTAGTTTAATTGACGCTTGTAGTCAGTTTCGATGTCGTCACAACTTTACCAAGATCTTGAATGCGGGGTGCATGATGATGGCCCCCCTTTTAGTTTCCATGGACGATGAGCTGTGGCGAGTGTGGCTGAAATGTCAATTCAGGAATGTACCGGTACGGTATTATTGAGCCGGTAAGGAATGTAAATTAGATTGTTGGCCATTTTTAAGAAGCCTTCCATACATCATGAAAAAAAGGAATGTTTCGGGTCATATATATGGGATAGATGAAGATATGAAATTTGAAAATAATTGACAACAAAGTACTAGAGTATATCCCCAGTATATTTAGAGTCTGGACAAGACCTAACGAACGCCATTTGCTATGCTTGATTCCTTTTTCCTTGAACGCCAAACCCCATGATAATGTATGCATTTTAAGATGCTCGCGGTGTGCTTCTTAAGCTCTGCCGACTCTGAAGGAGAGGATCTGATAATTGTTAGTATGAAACTTCAATAGAAAAAGAAACAATCGTACGCACATCATTATGACCAACAGAAACAATAGCATCTTCCGAAACCCTCACTCCACCAGCTCCTTCAACATAAGCTAAAGGAGCATCTCCCATGACTTTTCTCGCACACTCCGCGACTGTAGTATTCTTCTTCACCAACACACAATCCCTAAACACTTTCTCACTTCCTGATCCACCAGTTCCTGCAATTAGACTTCCAACATTCCTTACAGGAAATACTGGTACTAAACCAAGTAATTCTGCTGCTCGAGAAAGTACTTGTACTACCCCCGTACTTCCGAATCTGTAAAGAACCATATCCTTCAAATTCTCAATCCTCGCTTTGAGCTTTTCATCCATTTCCTTTAGACCTCCACCAGTTTCATCGCCATCAGCAATTAGATCCTCTTTCGTATCCACAAACTCGCTCCCCTCTGTATACTTCACAAAGCCCTGTTTAGCCAACCTTCTCAGGAAGACTTCCGAAACAGCACTACATAGCACAATACTCTTCGGATCCTGCATCTTTGCAATCTTGCTAATATTCTTATCCGCATCCGCATGATCGATCTTATTGAGCGCAATGACCGTTGGAAATTTCTCATCCGTGAAAGCATTCACCATCAAATCGATCGTTTCATCAGACCAATGTTCCAATGATTCCTTCAACCCTAATTTGTCCAACGTCCGCGCAACCACCACACTTGTACTTCCATATCCGGAAAATTGACCCTGTAATGTCTCAACAGCCGTAGCTTTTACAGCTACATGTCTTCGTTTTATCGATCCCCATTTTTGCATCAAGTTTCCTCGAATCCATGCCACAATCTCCGAGCGCAACCACACGATATCATAACTAGGATCGTAACCTCTTGTTGCTTTTCCCTCTGCATCAGTTGTGCCACTTACGTCTACGACGTGGATGAGTGCATCTGCATGACGTAAATCGTCGAGGAATTTATTTCCTAGACCTTTTCCTTCGTGGGCGCCCGGGACAAGACCCGCTACGTCAAGAAGTTCGATGGGAACAGAGCGACGACCGTCTATACAGGATCCATAGTTGGGTTTGCAGCGCGATTGAAGATTATAGCGAGCGCAGGCGCAATCAATTTGAAGATAGCCGATTGCGCGTTGAGGGTCGATGGTTGTGAATCTGGGAGTGGCTCAGTACTTTTTCTTCGCTCTACTTTTGCGCGATTCTCATTGCTCCTTATTCGTAACACTGAGAGCGTGCGCAAGTGGTTGAATAGACTGGTGCTTACGGGAAATTGCCTGCGCGAGAGAGAGTATGTAAGTACATGGAGGGGTAATTTGAGGTTGGGATGGGGATGGTATGGATAGGATATTTACGCACCAACTTTTGACGAAGCATCTGTAAGACTATTAAGTGTTGTACTTTTCCCCGAAGAGGGTTTGCCTACAAGGCCGATCAGAGGATCTCGTGGCATAACGTGCGATGATTATGAGATGTTTTGAAGAGGATGTTCTTGCATAAATATAAATTTCGTGGATGAATGCGCCGGGCCGTGGTGGGGTTTGTGGATGCCTGAGGCGCCAACGTAGCAGATTCACCCCCTCTAGGTAGTAATCATCCCTTCAAATGTGACCTTACAAGGAATTATTAGTATTATTGGAATGCCTATACTTTTAAACAGCCATTCTTGCCCATATCTTTAGATCCAAAACATTATGGGATTTTGGGCCCAATGCCTTGACCTGGTTATCATGTTAAGAGTTGGACTTTTATGAGCGAGCTAGCTGAAGTTTGGACGGGCTATGTTGGAAGTTTGGATGTATATTTGAGGGTTTGTTATGTAAAATACAACGAAACTATTTAGGTTAAGGGTCACCAAGAAGGTGAGTTTGATGAATGTGAAAAGACGCTTCTTGTCCATCTTCTCTCGCTAATCTTATAATTTGACCGTTGAAGATTATGTGATTACCAGCATTGAGCTTGGTATGCTGTTCTACCTGGCCAATCCAATATTGATACATGACTATTCTCGATACTGAGCCCTACTCGATACATAAGATACCCATCGTTCTCCTGGACGCGCACACGCATTTTGATACTCTGTGGTATACCCTTTTGCAGTACTCTCTGAGATTCAAGCTCATCTAGATAAGTCTCTACCTTTTCAATGTTCGCAGTGAGCAAAAGCTTGCATCCCCCTTCAATCGAATAATTTAAGTATCTATTAATGGAAACCCATATCCGTGAGTTAGATACAGTTTATTGCAAGACTTACCTATCTCCGACTCCTCTGAATTTACAAACAAGCCCTGAGTAACATAACACATAAGATCCTCCTGAAACAATAACTATACTGTACATAGAGAACACTATATCAAATTGTAAATGTAAACGTTTTCTATAAGGTCCTCATATTTATATTCGATTACATAGTAAAAGAAGCCTTTCCTTTTGAATATAGGATCTAAATAGGTATCGTTTTCAATATCTGTGTTAAATCTAAGATTAGTAAGCCCACATTAACTAAGAAAAAAGAGGCAGGGTGCTGAGCATTTGTCCCGGTTTCCGGCCAATATCAAGTTTGCTATGTTTGCCAATTTGTCAAAAGAGTTTGCACCAACTGGCCCGTACAACAGTATGCACAGACCGTCTTCAAATATCTATATAAACATCACTCCTCATCCTCTTTCGTTTTCTCTTTAGCTCTGTGAGTCCTCCTCTCCTCTACCCTACCTTTTTAACACCTTTGCTAATAACTATTATAGCTTTGCCTATTGGCTTAGATCAAGTGTAGTATCTGTTCTTTTCAGTTTAATCTCTGAAAGATCGTCACTGACGGTCACATTGATTATACTTATTTTTGTCTTTCGGGTTTGGTCCGCTGTGCTTGCGCATGATCATTCCCATAGTTTCCCTGGTATTACACTGCCTCCAGGTGAAGCGAACACTTCTTTTCATTACAAATTCTTGGCTTGCCAGAATTGTGAAGAAGAGTTTTTTTGATGGTTTGGAGTTCTTTTTCTATGGCTTTATGTATATGTTGATCTTTGGAAATTTGGTTTGTTTACATCGTTATGGTTATGGATATAGCACATTTTGTTAACAGTGACTTCTGTGGATTTGATAGATGAAAATTTGGATATTCGTACTCTCTACAGCAGGTCGGTCTGGAAATTAATTTATTGTAATATTTACATCACTACGCTGTAATACTACGAAACGAATTGATTGTAAACGCGACTTTGAATCAACCTATCACTATGACCGTGTCTTGAGAATTATATGCGCGAGATTGTTGCAATAACGCGTCGTGAAATATACTCTTATAATTTTCAAATTGGTGATGAAATATTATCAAATCCCCACCACCACCACAATACCCCTCCAAAACATTCAAGCAAAATGTCGGACCTCAATGGAATGGTTGACCCAAGGATCTTTGAAGATTTACAAACCAAGATTGATGAAGATGCGGAAGTAAGAGATCAAATCAAAGCTATCTTACAAACATTGGAGAGACAATGTAGAAATGCTCAATCGGTTTTATCTCGAGCACATTCAACACCAGCTGCTCACTGTGAGTTTTCCCATACTGCCTTCTTCTATATTCAAAATCTAACATTTCCAGTGCAGCCTGTCCTTGAGTCTGCAGAGAGAGCTATAAAAGAGGAGGCTGAGAGTATTCAAAAGCTCGCAAGCGTAGCTTCAAATTATCCATATTACAAGTATGCGCTCTGGAGGATTCTACGATATTTGACCTAGCTAACAGGTGTAGGTATAATGGAAGTTGGACCAGAGATGTGCAGAATGTGATCTTTGCCGTCCTTCTCTGCGGATGGCTTGGTGGTTTGAACAAGGATGAAAAGTCGGTTGAGTCTGGAAGACTTCTCACGATTGAGGAAGTAGGAGAGATTCTTCAAGGTACGTTACATAGACACATTCTTTTCTGCGAAAGGCACTACTAACAATATACCAGTCCCAGTTAATCTTAAAGACCGAGACGCGTTCCATATCAGCATCGAAGAATATCTCCTCTCCCTCATTTCCTTGATCGAAGAGCTTTCGCGACTAGCTATCAATTCCGTTACTCTTGGAGATTACCAAAGACCACTACAAATCAGTCAGTTCGTCAAGGACTTACATGCGGGATTCCAGATCTTGAATCTGAAGAATGATGTCTTGAGAAGAAGAAGCGATAGCATCAAGTATAATGTGAAGAAGATTGAGGATATTGTATATGATCTTTCATTGAGAAATTTGGTGGCTAGACCCGGATCTACATCTTGAGGGCAGGATGAAGTGTTGAAATACTGCTTGGACGGGTTTTCGATATCAGAAGATGGGAACTGGACGGTTGCTGCTGTTGCATATGTTACGAGCTATGGCAGAAAGTAAATAGTTAGTTGTTATTATCGTATGGTATTGGCTTCAAGACTACCGATATGATCAGAGCAAATCATGAATATCAAACAATATCAAAAACCTTCATCGGAACCCTGACCGAGAAATGCCGACGCTAGTGACAGAGCTCCCAAACACGAAGCTCATAATCCCAAAATCAAATTCTTGCAATTGACAACACCAGAACCCGAAATGCCACCAATCGATCCCATCACCATGTCCGGCATCAGTCCAGTTTCCGGCGATACCTCCAAACCCAAATCACTACCCACGGATATGCTACCTTCTGACATAGCGCGTATCTTCACACACATCCAGCCTGCCATTCTTCTCTCGGCGTACTATTTCCGATTCTCTGCCTTGGTTGCCGACCCTGTGCCTACACTCTTGCACTCGCTATTACCTGTCGCTATTTTGCAGGTGGCTTATGCCGCACTCTGTTTACCGGCTTCGGGGTCGAATATGGCGAGGAAATTGAAGCCGGGGGAGAAGAGAAAGGGCGTAGAGGGTGGGGAGGCTAATCATAAAATATTCGTATGTCTTTACTTCTGATTAAGCATTTAGTCTGATGCGTGAAGGATACATGTGAAAAATTGCTAATACTTCTTTTAATAGACAACCATATTCGCGCTCATCCTAACAGCCACCGCCGTACCCGCCATCACCGCCCTACAAATCCTATTCGGCGCTCCCTTCACGACACACATCGAGCACACGATCCTCTCATCCGCACATATATCTCTGCTAGCACTCTTTCCCCTCTTCTACATCCAAGGCATGGATTCGGTGCGATGGCTCGAAGTGGCATCGTTGTATGCGCCGATGGATGAGGTTTTCGGTGCAGCGTTGGGATGTGCGTTGGGTGCGTGGTTGGGCGCAGTACCGATTCCCCTGGATTGGGATCGCGAGTGGCAGAGGTGGCCGGTGACGGTGGTGACGGGTGCGTTTGCTGGGTATGTGGTGGGGAAGTTGGTGGGGGGTTTGGGGTTCGTGAGGGGGAAGAGGATTGAGTTGGAGTAGAGTAGAGTAGAGTATTAGGGGTTTGGGAGTGCGGTGTGTGTGTTGTGTTAGATGGTTAGTAATGAATGGGTGGAGCCAGGAATATCGCGGATACGGATGTATAGAGAGGTATCGGACATAGTCGCATTGGCATGGGCGTATGGGAACTAATTGATCTGAAATGGGAATCCAAAGTCTTCTAAGCGGATGATTTTCCTCAATCTAGTATGAGAGTTATATTCCAAAATTATCGTAGCGTCCATTTCGAGGGCATCATATATTTCCATTGCTCACTGAGCGTACATCGTTATACAATACTCGAGTAGTCATATACTGGTCGGTAAAGCACTCAGAGTAGACTTAAAGCTTCTTGACCCCAAGTAGTTTAGTCTATTTAATATTCGTTCTGTTATATCTTCTCTGTTACATTCATCCACGTCTTTCGCACTCCATTTATAGCTCATCCCATCCCAGTTTTATCTTCATCCCCACTACCATCTAACTCTAATCCATTTTCAATCTTCATCTCATCCATATCCTCTTCTCGCTATTATCATCTCTCTCGCAGATACTTATTACTGTACTATTGCCATCATCTCCATTACTATCATCTCCATTCCATTCATGCACTCCATCCACGACTTTCGTGCTCCATCTATTTACAGCTCATCCCATCCCAACCCATCTTCATCTCCATCCCACTATCATCTAACTTTAATCCACTTCTGTCCTCATCCCATCCCATCCGTTTCCATATCCATATCCCATATCCATATCCATATCCTCAATCTCGATCCTCTTCTTTGCTATTTGCTATCATCTCTCTCAGTGTCACAAATGCTTATTACAATACACTACTATCACCGTTACTATTATCATCATCACATTCTCAATCTTGAATACAAATACAAATACAAATACAATTTTCAATTTCAAATTCATTCGCGCTTGCTTGCTTGCATCGATTTCTCTTCTCTTTCTCTTTCTCTTTCTCTTGTCTTTCTATATGCGTATACCTTTTATTTGTTTCTTTGGCTTTTCATCCCAATGCATATGCCAAATGATACATCTACCTTGCTTTCTCAGGTGTTCTCTCTTGTCTTGTCTTGCTCTCTTTCTTGCTCTCTTTCTTGCTCTCTTTCTTGATGTGATGTGATGTGATGTAATGTGATGTGATGAGAGGAGAGGAGAGGAGAGGATATGATACACTCTTTTCCCTTGTGTGGATAATAGATTTAGTTTCTATCCATCTAAAGTGGAAATGAGTACGGGGTGTAAGTTGGGTAAGTCGGGTGTGGTATGGTTACTGTGGTGTGATGTGGTGTGGTATGTTATGTTATGTTATGTTATGTTATGTTATGTTATGTTATGTTATGTTATGTTATGTTATGTTATGTTATGGTATGGTATGGTATGGTATGGTATGGTATGGTATGGTAGAGGGAATGATTGTAGATTGTAGGTTTTAAATGGTAGGTGCTAAGTTATATCCAACGCTACTGCTAAATCATGCGCAGCATTACTTTTAACTGAGTGGAACGAATAGTGTTAATTGGTGTGGTTGTTTGTGCTGGTGCTGGTGCGATGTCTGGGCTTGGGCTTGGGCTTTGGGTGAGAGGTGAATGATGAGATACGTATGTTATAATGATGAGTGTGCGTGTGCGTGTAGGTATAGATAAGGAGAACGATGAGGTTGAAGCTGAACTTAGCAGGGGATAAGAAAATTAGGAATAGGACATTCAGCATTTCGTGCGGGAAATAAGGTATAGAAGAAGAGAAGATTTGGAAGGAGCGGGAATGTATGTAGTGAGAGTGGTACTACGATATATTATGATTGGAATATTGCAATCCATTCATCCATTCATCCATCATCTATGCATGCGATCGAGGAGAAGAAGCAGCTCAGCTCAGCCGAACAAGGAAAGAAAGAGAACACTGGTTCTTGAGGAGACTTCGAGTCGAAGCTCCAACCCCCATCTCATATTCTGCCATCCGTGGTCAAACAGACCCTACACCTATGCCCTCAACTCATGTAATCACATCATCACATCATCACTCACGAATGCAAGAAAGAAAAAAGTGATTTGAACGTTTTGATTATCTACCCATGCCAATGTCTCAGACTGATTGACCCTATACTATTTACAATCCCTTCCTACCAAATTCTCGTTCACAACCACAATTCCATCAATATCAAGGTTCTATATGCCCCATGGGATATTTGAAAAGAGAAGGGGTCACAGCCCAATATACAACCCTGATCAAATACCCACAGTCGTAGTTCCCCACCCGCAAAGTGATGTTATCAATCGACGAAATGCGTAAAGCAACTCGAATAAGGCCGGAGCCAATGAATAATATGCCTATAAATACTCCATCCTTCCATTTCCATCAAGATGTAGAAAAAAAAACAGCAAAAGCAAAATCGCAATACAAAAACAATCGTAAACTTCTTTTTTCCCAATCCACGCTATGCAACACAAACGCCCATAGTTATTTCCATAAACATGTTATCATTCCTTGCCGAAAAAGATATGATAAAGAGTGAAATAAAGTGACCCTCAGTTGTTGTTGACCTTGTTATCCTCCAAACACTTGGCCAATTCTTCCGCCAATTCAATTCCCTTAAGTTGAAGAACCCAGGTCTGCAAGTCGATCCCATCATCACCGACCGTCATAAGCTTGATAGTTTTTCCGCTAGCCTCATATTTGACTTGCGAAAGAAGTGACTTGTTGAGGATGATAGATCCAGAGGGATCACTTCGCAGAACAATTCGGGTAGCCTTCGTCTCTTTGTGGCGAAGAACTTTCAATGGACCAACGCCTTTGGTGTCCCATGGACTGGTTTTGCCATCGCCTTCTTGGTTTGGACAGAACTTCAAGGCTCTAGCCCGAATAGAGTGAACGACGTCCTCATTCTCTTCACCTGGATTAGATTCCAAAAGGTTCACTTGGGCATGAACTTTCTCCGGATTATCATCATCGGCATCAGTGGCACCATCGGTGGTTACACCTGGTGAAGTAGCTCGAGATGTGCCTGCGGAAGCTGCTACAGAGGGGAATAGAGAAGATGTAGTGGATGCCGGGCCACCAAATTGAAATCCTGTAGTAGTGGTAGGTCCTGCAGAGAGAGCAGGAGTTGTAGTTGCAGAATTGCCAAACAATCCACCAAATGGGTTAGCTACTGGCTTTGTTGGAGTTGAACCGGTGATGTTGAATGTTGGGGCAGAAGGTGCAGCACTGCCAAACTTGATTGGCGTATCTGGCTTCCAGGTTTTATCTGTTAAAGTACCAGGAGTTGCGCCGAAAGAGCTACCGAACAAATTCATGGTCGATTTCGGTACCGAGTTCTCTTTCTCTTCTGGAACAGGATCTCTAGTCATACGACTGAGAAGACTTCCACCGGTACTAGGAGTGGGTGTAGTTGTGCTAGAGCTAGCTGCTGAGCCAAACAAATTAAGCTTTGGTGGCTCAGCAACGATTTGTTTGATAGAGGTAATGCCAGGACTGGTCTCATCGACGGGAGTACTAGATGTACTTGGAGTACCATTGATTGCGTTTGATTTGTAGCTTGGATCCTGCTCTTCATCCTCACCATCAGACCCGTCATCAGAACTTTCATCATCCCCATCATTTTGGGTATTCGAGTCTGCATCGGAAAGGTGTGCAAAAGGGTTGCCAGCAAATGAAGGTATCTTTCCTGAAGCAGTTGCAGCACCATCGAGGACAGATCCAGTACCAGAGAACAAGTTCGGAGTGGATGTTCTCGAGGCGTTTCCTGAACTAAAAATACTCTCGGCGGCTCCGGTAGCAGGCTTAGCTTGTCCGAATAATGGCGTAGCAGTAGTTGTGGCAACTGGTGCAAAGATGTTTGTAGCTGCTGGCTTTGCAGTTTCTTTTGATTCGGTGGTCTTTGCAGATTCAGTAGATTTGACGAGGAAGGTAGGAGCCTTGCCCTTTGCAAGCTCAGCCAGTTTTTTAAGATCTGCAGCTCTCTTCTTTCTGTAGTTAGCTTCCCACTCAGCTTCGTCGTCATCCTCAGAGTCGAAATCCTCATCCTTGGCCTTCTGCATCAACTCCTTCTCGTTATCTTCTGCACTTTTAGCAGCCTGTTGACCAAATTGGGCCATGAAATTGACAGGTCCGCTCCCGAAAGTTGGTGGTTTAACACCACCTGTAGGAGCACCGGCGAAGGTAGGTGGCTTAATCACGCCGCCAGTAGGAGCGCCGGTGAAGTTTGGTGGCTTGATACCGCCACTAGGAGCACCGGTAAAGGTAGATGGTTTGGTCGGGGATATAGTAGGTGTTGTGGAGGTAGGTGTAAATTTGAAGACCGGAGGCTTGGTAGGTGTGGTAGAGGTCGTGGCGGTATTAGATTTGATGGGGGAAGCACCTGGCAATGTTCCAAATGGATTGGCGAGAGGTGCCTTTGCTGGAACCGAAACAGCTTCTTTAACAGATCCAGGCAATGCCCGAGTCTTTCTCTCTGGACTGGCCGATCTTGATGAGTTTTCTGGGCTGTCCAAAATATTCTTGAACATGTTAGAAGTGCTTGAACTAGAACCATTGACTGTTCTCTTGTTGCTGTTCTTGCCATCTTCAACTCCTTCAGGATCGTTTTGGGTCAAATAAAGCTCAGGCTTTCTCTTCTTGCTGCCACCACTTTCGGCTTCTTCGTTGTGACTTGACTGCTCCGGCTTTCTCTTCTTATTTCTGTCACTCTCTCCATCGCCTGATTCAATTTGAGTCTCATTCTTTCTCTTCTTGTTTCCGCCGCTTTTTCCGTCGCCTGATTCCAACTGAAGCTCATTCTTTCTCTTTTTACTTGAGGTTGCTTCTGGAGCTGCGCTTCTGGAAGATGATTTACTTGGGCTGGATGAACGACCAGGCTGAAGTTTTGGTGCTTTTACAACCGAATTGCCATTGAGCTGAGACTCAGGTTCATTTATCGCACGTGAGCGTTTTTCTGGACTCTGCGTATTTCGTGATCGCTTCTCTGGACTTGGAACACGACGTGGGCGTTCTTTGACTGGTTTGGTTCGCTTCTGAGGACTCATATTTTCTTGGTCCTCATCGTAATCAAGGTCAATCTCTGCCCTTCCTCGCTTATTGGAAATATAATCAATCTTGTGCCCTGCGAGAATCTCTTTCTTTTTAATTTGCATCCATGCCAATCCTTTGGATGGGTCTGCACCAGGTGGTAGATGATGGAAATATGCTGCCATGGATTTTTGCAAGGATGTGATGCGCCACAGTGCATGAAATTGATTTCTTTTAATTGTATCGAAGTGACGAGGCATGTTTGCATCTATCTCCATGACTGTAGGCTCAGAAACTTGGAACTCGAAATCGGACAATCTACCAGGGGCCAGTGGTTGATCGACAGGAGCTAATGACTGGGAGGATGAATTTGTAGGAGCACTGAGAGCCATTGAGTCGGAACTAGAGCCATTACTTAGTGGTCCGCTCAATGCTTGGGTGTCTTGCGTTTGAGAAGAGAAGCTGCCAAGCGTGTTGCTTGAAAGCGATTGTGCTGCGTCTGCAGGGATATCGGCTGATTTGGAAGAAGGAACCCGATCAAAGCCGGACGCCTCGGCGTTGCCGCGAATCTTAAATGAAGACCCAGCTTGTTTGTCAGATGGAGCAGCGAGCTTTTGAAGGTTAGCATGGTTCCTGTCGCTAATTATGGAATCGGGAATGCAACTCACAGATGGCTCTTTCGCTGCACCGTGGAGCTGAAATTGCCCTGGAGAATTTGCCTTGCCAAAGCTGTCGAAAAGAGCATTTGGAGTCTTGGCTGGAGTCTTTTCCGTCGTATTCTCCGTTGCATTTGACTCGGAGATTGGTTGACCGACAGGTCTATTCGGGCTGAACAAATCCAGAGTCTGCTTATCCTTCGGCTCTTCCACAGGTCTTGGTCCAAAGATGTTATTGCTTTGGCCATGGTTCTGATTATTGGGGTTGAAGAGATTTGAGGTTGATCCTGCCGAATTGCCGAGGTTGGTAAAAGTTACTGCTGATGCAGGGGCTGCCAAGGGTTTGGCGAAGACACTTGAAGTGCCTGAAGAAGATGGATTTGAGTCGGTATGCTTGAAACCACCAAAAAGTGGATTGCCCGAAACAGCCGAACTTGAGTCAGCAAGCTTAACACCACCAAAGACTTGGGTGCTTGAAGCAGATGGGGTCGGGTCGGCAGGCTTGAAACCACCAAAGAGTGGAGTGCTTGAGGCAGGCTTAACAGCACCAAATAGTGGAGTGCTTGAGGCAGGCGTAGTCGAGTCGGCAGGCCTGATAGCACCAAATAGAGGAGTGTTTGAGGCAGGCGCAGTCGTGTCGGCAGGCTTGACAGCACCAAAAAGTGGAGTGTTTGAAGCAGCTGCAGGAGGAAATGATGAATTGACGTTGCCATAACCATTCAAATTATTTGAGGCAGATGTTGTAGGGAATGAAGAAGCAGCATTTCCAAACAGATTTGCGGTGCTTGGACCAGATGTATCTGCAGTGATGCCGCCGAACATGCTCTGAGAGTTTGAAGGTCCAAGGTTTGTAGAATTGAGACCAGAAAAGCTCATATTGGCTTGGTTTTCAAAGGAGCCACCAAAGGAACCACCATAAGAGTTATTCTGCGCACCAAAAGAATTGTTGGTGTTGCTCTGTCCGAAAGAGGTACCCGAATTGTTTTCCTGCGTTATTATGTTAGCACGAATGCTCGCCAATGGCGAATTGCCAGCAAATGAGGAGCCTGTTGGAAATCCAGCTGATAGAGTTCCACGGTATTCATTGTCGCTAAACCTCATTGGATTTTGAAGTTGAGGAGTTTGTGCTGGCGCTTGCCCAGCATTAGCCGGATATTCAACCTTATAATTGCCCAGCATTGTTTCGGTTTCGTCGTTTGGATAGTAGTGATGTTGGCCAAAGGTTGAATTATCAAATTGATTAGTAGAAAGAGTTGTCGGGAAAGAGAAATTGTAATTATCAAGAGCATAAGAAGGGTCGGAATTAAAATAACTTGCTTTTTGATTTTCAATGGTGAGAAGATTTTGCGCTTGTGATGGTGCATTTGCGCCAAAATTCAGTGAATTTTCTGCCTGACTAGAATTTGTTCCGCCAAAGGTGAAAGCTGAAGTACTATTATTGTTCGCTGGAGCTTGTGATGAGGAACCGAAAGCGAATGTAGAATTACTATTGTTGTTTGTCGCTTGCAATGTAGGTGTAAAATTGAAGCCACCGAAACTGGAGTTTCCTGTCTGATTCTGCGATGTCGATGAATCAAATTGTAATCCACCTCCATTTGACTGTGTCGCATTTGCTGCACCGAACAGAGTTTGTGGTTGTGTATTATTGGAGGAACCGAAAGTATTTGACGGTTGGTTATGATGGAATGGGGAATGGGCAGCAAACAAAGCTTCCTCATCTACACCAGCCGCTCTGAACCCCTTTCCCCGTCTCAATGCCTCTTCACCTGTCGTATCTGCACGAGGGTCTTCGGGGGTGGATGCAGCCGCCGGTTGTGCGAATGGATTGGGTGTTGAGTCTCCAAATGAAGTACTAAAAGATGGCGTTCCAGCCGGCGCGGCGAAGTTGAATGAACCAGGAGCGGATATACTTCCACCAAAAAGACCACCACCACCACCGCCACTTCCAGCCGCAGCAGCATTATTATTATTGTCGTTATTGCTTTGCACAGGCACGAAGCCACCTTTCTGGTTGTTCAATCTGCCTCTGGGTTTTGCTTTGATACTCCGCGCTGCCAGCTGAGCGGCATTTGCTCGATTTGAATCCATCGTGATGGTTAGGTTGGTCGCGATGTGGTAGTTGACAGGACAGAGATCAATGATTACAATGAATGTCGCGTCCTCTCGGAAAGAGTCGATGGGTCTTGCTCACTAAAAGAACAAGAGTTATGGAAATAGCGGTCGCAATAATGCGCAAACTCGAAATGACGAAGTCGATATCAAAAAGGGTATCTAGGGCGTCGCGAAAAGTACGGAGTCAACTACAAAAGACAAGACTTGAAGTAATTTGTCTAAGCTTTTGAGATTACTCAAATGTAATGTTGAGAAGAACAGGGGTATGGTCGCGTTTTGTTATAGTAATCAAAGTGTTTATCGGTAGAATGGGAATAGAAGAGAAGAGACTCGAGTTGTAAAGAAAATGGAAGTCGATATGTAAATAAATTAAAGTCTAGTCAGTACAGCGCGAAACTTATATTATGTGTATCCTGAGGCATCAACAATCAACAAATAACAACAAACAACACGTATAAGAGATGCCAAGAGTCTGTGCACCGGAACGGATTTCTATATAATCCGAGAATCCGTATATCAGCAAAAATAATATTCAAATTTGGCCTCAGGAACGGTTCATCTAATCAGCTACTGATTTCAATATGAACTTTTATATACATTGATTAGAACAGGCTTGTTATCCCAAGGCTATCATCATTGCAACATGTTTCTCATTCATAAGTAACCCCCCTAAGGTTACCCAAGTACCAGTAGAACAACTTTCGAAAATTGGATGGACTAACCAGCAGTTATCAAATCAACAGGCTCATGACTGTAAGAAAGAAGCAGTTGAAGCACTGGGCTGCAGCTTCAACGCCATTCACTCATGTATATGAGGTTCTGTGCCAGACATACTGCTGCATTACCAAGCACTACTTCACCATACTAATCCCATCATACTGCAGCCCACGTATATTCGCCTCTTACATTCACTATGTTTCGGTTCCAGTGGTATTCCTAGAAGTATCTAGAGACCAGAGAGATACATTTCAATCCACTTGGTCCCTTATGTGAAGGTTGGTCCCCAAGTCGATTTAGAGGCTCAACTGAGTATTCTGTTTCCACAACAGAGTTGCATAGATCACGCGCAAAATGATATGGATTCCTGGCATGTCGAATCTTTCTCAATGTCGCGCCAGTGTTCGGTATTTGAGGTTCAAAATACTATCACGATGAGAATGAATCCGCAATTACTTCTATAATTTTGAGATTAAGCTCATTCTGAGGTTTCCTGCGCTCGTCGTTAAAAGCGACGATTAGACTAAGAATGGATTAAGCTACTTATTTTGAGGCCTCACTAGCCACTTGAAAGTCAAGGGTGGAAGCGCTGATCAGAGCTGGTCGCATGCTTGAAGTTCGCAAGGAATATACACTTGCTCTTCCTTATATGTACTCACCATCATAACATTTATCTCTCAACTTATGATTCTTACCATCTCAGTGCCTTCAATATTCCCTCTTTGCTGGCGTCTGGACTCAAATCATGCATTTCACATTCATAACAATGAATTTGGTAATATTCTGAGTTATGAATAGAGCAAAGAGCGACCCTTACTCTGTGGCTTGCGGCTCGCACGATCGATGTAGCTTCGCAGTTATTTATCTGTATTTGCCAACTATCGCGTGTAATCATGACCACCAGGTAGTGAGGATCGAATAATAAAGACACATTCTCATATAAAATTGATTGTCAATGATCAATTCGTACACCTCAAACCCCGCTTCCTTTCTCGATCTTCACCAGAAACCCACCGGGTCGATATCCTTCTTCAAGCATAGTGAATCTTCCAAGCTACTGTTTGAATTGCAAAAAAATGAACCCAATATCCTGGATAGAGGATAGAGATAAGGTCGACTTGCTGCTACTTAGCACACGGCAGCACCTCAATATCCGACAGAGTCGTATTCGAGCTTCTTGTCTTCTTGACTGGAACAAATATTATCTTCCCAAGATCCAACAGATTTGTCTTTAACTTTTACGCCCTCTTGTTTTTGGCTCTTACGTTTTTTCCCATAATTAGTTTCGTGCCCTTCATTGTTTTGATGCTATTTCCCATTATCGAATTGTCTCTCAATCCTAGCTCAAACACCATCCAATATCTTCGTCACCAATCCAAAGAATTTATAAGCTTCAGCAAGCGTCATCCCAGACCGATGAGCTTATTCACACTTGAACTGTCTTGATTCTTAGTAAGATTTATCAGTACTGAGTTTCAGAAGCTTGCGGCTTACAAACACAACATTCCTAACCTTCAAATACGGTAATACCCAGGCTCTCCATACTATATTGGGGCCGGAAGCTTATAGGGAGTTTTGACTCATGATATGATCGGATTTGGATGTCGAGAAGGAACGCAATGAGTGGAAGTTTTGGAAAGAGGCTCTTGAGTTTTCGAGGATGCAAAATTCGGGGGTTGATGTTACTTACATACTTCTTGAAGCCTAACTATATAATAGTTGATTATTGGGAGTGTCAAACGATTATAAGACAATGATATATTTCAAGGGGGCTCAAGATCTGTGGGATGTATTGGCTTATTATATCTATACTCGAGTATTGCATATGAATATCAAGACTAGACTAGACATAATAACGCGACCACCCATGGCCAGTAAGGATATTTGAGCCTATGAGAGAGAGCCTTAATGCGAAAATTCTTTTGTGTGTGATTTGCTAGCTTTGATATCATGTAAATTTGATTCCACGTCTACTTATCTCTATATTTAAGGTGAATTACTCTTACATTAGTGAATGAATATGAATTATATTACTTTTATGCCACGAAAATCATGTCTGGGGATTTTTTTTTGGTTATTTGGATTCTAGAGTAGAATCTATAGTAGAATATATCTTTGAGTAAAGAGGGGAGAAGGGTAGGATCTATGATAGGGATGATATGGTGGGAGGTTAGATATGATAGGAGGGTAGAATTTATGATAGGGATGATATGATGGGAGTGTAGAATCTATAGTAGAGCAGCTATGGTAGAAGGGTAGAGAGGTATTGATTTGAATGAGTGTAAGAGTTCGAGAGGCGTAGTTTTATGGTTATAGAGAGGAGTAGAGGGGTGGTATGTGGAAGTATGAGGAGAAATAAAGGTAATAAATAGAAATTCCCTAAGAAATAAAAGACTCCATTACAGAGAACAAAGCGATCCGAGTTCCTGATCCATATTATCCCATACTATCCCATTCAATCCCACCCTCTCCCCTAACCCTCACACACCCACCCCTCACTGCAAATTAACAAACAACCCCCCATCCACCAACAAACCACTCCCATTAACATACCCACTCAACTCCCCGCACGCCAAGAAAACCGCCGGCCCCGCCAAATCCCCCGGAACCCCGTCCTCCCCAACGGAATCCTACCTTCCATATACACCCTCTTCTCATCCACCTTCAGATCCTCTTCGTTCAGTTGCGTTCTGATGGTTCCGGGTAATAATGCATTACATCTAATGCCATATTTACCCAACGCACATGCCATGCTTTGCATCAGGGAGAGAACACCGGCTTTCGTGGGTGTATAGTGGGTTTGTTGGGCGCCGCCGACGAGGGCCGAGATGGAGGAGATGGCGATGATGGATCCGCCGGGGGGAGACTGGATTGACATTTGGCGGGCGGCGGATTGGCTGGTGTAGAAGGCGCCGTCGAGATTGGTGCGCACGGTGTGGGAGAAGAGGTCTGGTTCTAATCTTTTGGGTGTTCATTAGCTTTTTTCTATTCCTTTTTGTCTCTCCATCCCCTTCCCTCCCATCTCTCAGAATTATCTATTACCAAAAA